GCCTGAAAACTCACACTTACATCGCACTCAATCCACTCCACAGCGTCGGTGTCAGCTTATTTTGTTAAGTGGTACATTTTATGACAATACAGGGCTAATGATTTCCACTAAAATCACGATTCTAAGAAATTACTACATTTTAGAATATTAATTTCAGTTTTTAACAATTAGTGGGTACTTAAAAACATATAGCAAAAAGTAATGCCACCCAGATTCCTGTACAAGCATAATATCTGATATTTGATGAGACAGTTCGGAACTTTGGACATAGGGCCTCATTTCCTAGTGAGCCAGAGTGTTGGAGACGTGTGGAGACACTTTTTAAAATATTCCATCCAGTGTTTGTATTTGCAGAGGTCATTGGTGCTAGGCTAGTGCATGTCAATGGCCATAGTTATCCTGCCACTAAAAACAGTCTTACCCACTCCACAAAACACCCGAAACAAATCTATTATTACACCAGGCTGTCGAGGTAAATGTCTGTGTCGATAGAATAATGTTTGAAATAAAACCTTGCATCACATGAATCGTCGCATGTTGAGGGACTATTTTCTCATATATCATTCCGCCACTGCCAAACTTTCTATCAGGAAGTACAACTCGCTGCTGCTGCTCAGAGATAAAGCCTTCAAATGCAAGGTTGGTTTTACTTTTAAAAATATTCTATCAACACAGACATTCACATCGACAATTTGGCGTAATAATTGTTTTGCTTCAGGTGCTTTGTGGCAGGCTAACTATGGCCATTGACATGCACTAGCCTAGCACCAGCGACCTCTGCAAACACAAGGACTGGATGGAATATTTAAAAAAGTGTCTCCACACGTCTCCAACACTCTGGCTCACTAGGAAATGAGGTCCCATGTCCAAAATTTTGAACTGTTCTTTTAAAGCAAGAATAGTCTTTGGATGAAGCAGTATAAAAGCGAATAAAAAAAGTACTTTCTGAAAACAAGGCAGGTATCTTCTCAGAACAGTACCTTTAGATTAAAAATGGTTTCCAGATGGCAGCCAATTTTAAACACACTGTCAAGAAAACTACTTTAAAACCATGTACTAAATTAAAAAGTTGTCATTTTGAGGAGACATTTTGGTGTAAAATGCATAATTTGTGGATTTATGTAAAAAAAAAATGACGAGGTTATGCAAATGATTCAAAGCCAAAACCAATAAAATAAAAATACACGTGAAGCATAAAAAATTGAATTTGTAAACACATTCATAAATCCAAAGCACTGCCAAGTTAATTACCTACCTATCAGTCAAAAATCTGGGAAAAATATTGCAAATATTGTTTTTACCACTACTTATCTCCCTAATCCACGCAGAAAGACCCACACCTTCTGCCAAAGACCCAGCCATGCATCCAAATCAGTCCCACTTTTGGAGTCTGTGTTTGGGCCAAGGGCGAGACCAGCTGCCCACCTTTCCATGTGGAGCCCATCCAAAAAGGCTTCAGTACATTTTCCTTTCAAAACGATTCCTTCAGGAGAGCAAAATATTACTGCCAATCTGCTCCTCTTTCAATTTCTGAAGTGCAATGTCATCTTGCTTACTCAAATTGTTTTTTGTTTTGGTTTTTTCACAGCGGAGTGTTATTGGCAACGACTACAGCTTGGAGTCCCACGGCGAAGCGAAAGTGGCGGAAAATACGTCCACAAAGAGATGAGAGGACAGGAAAGGCCTACGGACAAATAGTGGTTTTCTAGCAGGACCACGAGGACCACATGGTAAACAGGCACAACACAAAAGCTGCAAAATGGTTGTGGAATACTAAGGAGTACAACTGTTGATTTCTGATTAAAAGTGACGGGACAATACAATAGAAAATGCTATGGCAAAATAAATCAACTATGAGTTTGATTTGAAAGCTACACAATGTCAAATATAACGCAGACATTTAAAAATAGACGGTTATGCCTGAATAAGTGAATAAAGGACACATTTTAAAGTAAATGTGTCTCTATATATTGTTTACATCTGATTTTAAAACCACACAAAAATGACAGAGGAAATATAAAATCATTGTATCACAGAACCTTGCATTTTCAAATTGCATTGCCAGCACAATATACATGCACGTATTCACCCTGGCCTAACTGAAATGGCTGTAACAAAAACTACAATTACAGGCTTCTGCTTTGTTAATTACCATATTTTTCGGGCTATAAATCGCACTCAAAAATCCTTTAATTTTCTCAGAAATCAACAGTGCGCCTTGTAATTCGGCTTTATGTATTAATTCTGGTTGTGCTTACTGACCTCGAACTGATTCTATGTGGTACACGGCGCACAGTTTTTTGGCGCTTATACTTTTTGCAAATTAGTCGTGTGGTTTTAAAATTCGTTTCAGTAAAATGTAAACAAATGTTCACAAAGCTTTAAACATAGCATTAAACACATTATTACTCAAAGTATATTTGAGTCGTCCTGGTAGGAATTTTAAAAAACTAACTTATCCACTCACATTCACATTAATAATACACATTCACCAAGACAAGGAGGCAACACCGGGCGAATTACGTCACGATCTGCCAATGGATTGTGGACACCTGGGCTAAAGATCAGTCACAAGTATCGTCCGTTTGTTTTGCTTAATGCGCTTTATAATTCTGTGCGCCTTATGTATGAAAATAGACAAGAGAATTCAACATTATTGATATTGCGCCTTATTATCCGGTGCACCTTATAGTCCGAAAAATACGGTAATCATAGAGAATCTGAAAGCTGAACCAAATACAATAAAAATATTTTAATAAAGACTCAAAAGGAGAGGTTTCTTACTTGATACTTGTACATGTATAAGTACAATAGGATCTAATAAAACATCACTCAATGAAGAAAAAAGTTGATTCAATCCTGGTTTATGCCACAAAGTACCACTAGATGGAGTCAAGAGCTAATGCTGCATTCTGTTTAATGTCAGTAGTGGATAAATCTAAGTCAGTTCTCCAGACATATGTTGTGTTCCATTGCAACAGTTGGGGAAAATATGGATGCCCGACAAAGTTTAATGTAATGTCAGGTATCGCTAACTCCTGCTAATAAATAGAGTCTGTTTGGTAATATTAGTTGATGGCGACTCAATTACGGCAGTTTGACAATTACATGTTCAGAAAAAAACTTCTGTCTACTGTCAAATGATGTGAAAGAAAGTCTAAATGTCACTACAACTTTTTCAGAAGACGCTTTCTCTGCACAACTCAACACATTAAAATGACGTAAATAAAGACTGTTCTCCCCGTTTACTGTGTGCGCTGCCATTTTTGCTTTGACGTAAATCCAACCAACTCAGTCTGCACCGAACTAGCCCGAGTTTGTGTTTCAGAACCCCGATTTGATTGGGGTCCACTGCACTTTCTGGAGGTGGAGTTCAGTTTTCCCCAAAAGAAGCACAAGCACAAAAGAAAGTAGCATTAAGCACCCCATTTGCCTATTCATTATCTTCCAGTTATATGCGGCAACATCTGAGGACTTTTTCCCAACTTTTTTTTTGTTGTTGTTTGTTTAGTTTGTTGTCAATCATTATGGCAATGATAAAAAAAAAATTAAATCATTGTGAACCTCATGGATTGACTACTGTTCATACTGCAAAAGCAATGCTCAACAACAACCTCCATGTGCCATCCTTTCCACCCACGCACCTTCATTATGCTATTAATCGCATTAGTACTAACCGTTACCATGTCAGTCTTTTGCTGTAGGACTTGTTTGACCGCCTCTGTGAACTAAATAGGCCCTTAATAATAATAATAATAATAATAATCCAAAGGAGAGTCTGTTTACTTTGCCACTTCTATATATAGTACAACTCAATCAAATAAAACATCTTAATACACCTTTGATCAACGAAAAAAAGGAAATTTTATCTCGGTTTATGCCACACTGGACCACTAGATGGAGTCAAGAGCTAAAGCATTTCAGTTCCAAATCATTGGTTTTCAGCTTCCTGTTATAACAATTTTTTTCTAGTGATGGGCAAATGAGTCGGAGCTCCGGAGCACGTCTCGTTCTTTCTGAAACAAATTACTCCGAAGCACTGCCTCGGAGCTCGTCTCGCAGCAGCCGCTCACGTGACCAAAGTGTCGAAGTGTGGGTCCCTCCCCCTACCGCTTCGCTCTACGTGTCAATCGCTTCAGTGTATCGAAGCGTTTCATTGGCTCAGCGAATGTTCCGCTCTATGATTGGTTCAGAGTGCTTCAGAGTGTTCAGCGCACTTCTGTGGTTTGACAAGCGCTAAACTGCTACAGTCTAAAAGATGCGCCAATATTTCTTAAAAATGTTGGGTAGTGAGGAGTATTGTGTGACGTTAGTGGTGACTTTTGGCGACTTTTGGCATTTGTTTCATTTTCGATGGCATCTACAAATGGAAAAAAGCGATCCATGGTTTGGGATCACTTGGATCTAATTCCACCTAACAAGATAAACTATTTTCTTATTTACAGCTGTTATTTATGTTGCTCTTTACATATTATTTTAAATCATCATTATTATTGTTGTGTGTCGCTCTGCACACAAGTATTGTCTTACACTAACAATACTTCATCGATGCTGAGACACCTGCGTGCCAATGGTTAAATTTGTCCACTAGAGGTCAGTGTTTCTCCGAGGCCTCAGACACGTCAAACCATTTGAGACAATATTGCGACTGAGGTGTCAGTGCTTCACGAGGCTCCATTCGCCCATTACTACTTTTTTCCCAATCTTTTTTTTTTTTTTTTTGTAAATAAGCATGGCAACGTGGCAAATTTTTATTGTTCTGAACTTGAACATGGACTTACTTTATACAGTATTCTGAAAACAATGCTCCACAACTACACCTATCGATCAGCCTTTCCACCCACGCACCTTGAACGCAGCGTTATGATATTTGCATTAGCCATTACCATACGATTTATTCATATTTCGAATGCAATGTTCAACAGCAACAACCTCCGCTCGCGAGCCAGTCCACCTACGCACCTTTCAACCAGCGTTATGACATTGGCATTAGCCGTTACCTTGTCGATTTCTTGCTGTAGCACCTGCTTGGCCACCTCCAGGTCCTGCAGTTTGTTCCTCAGCTCCTCGTTTTCTTCCTCCAGACGAGTGCGTTTCTTCTCCCCTCCTTCGAGCTGGCTGTGTAAGCGGATCGACACGTCCTTCGCCACCTGAAAAGAGCAGATAGCAAAACCCGTGTTAGAAACGAAATGAAAGGCTCTTTAGCTTTGAACGCTGCATGTAATCCCACAGACGGAGACAAGGACAGTGCATGTTTATTTGTCAGAGATTTGCTTTAAGTTGCTCTTCCGAGTTTGGAGAGAAAATCAGTTTTTAGTTTAATAGTTTTATTCCACTGTGACAACCGTGAGCCCTTGGTGGAGGACACACAGGAAAAGCTTTAATTTTAAATTGAATTAAAAGCAGACCTTTTATGCAAAATACATTTTTCTGAGCTTTTAACCATGTTATGCCATGTCATAGATGTTTCCTCTTTTCATTTACCTTTTCAGAATTGTATGTGGAGTGTTTTGTGCATATTTGAGCAATATTTAATTCTGCAGTTCATTTTGCTGTGATGACCTGTGTTGGGAAAGTTTTTTTTCTACATGAACTAGTTCAAAGTTCAGATCACAAATTTCAAAATGAACTAGTTCGTTCATATGTGAAGAATCCCTCAGTTGTCCAGGTAGAATCCATGGCGAGGAGAAAATTCAGTTTGTCGACTGGACAAAAGTTAGTTTGGTTGAAGACATTTCGCAGCTCACCCAAGCTGCTTCTTCAGTTCTGGTCAGACGCTGGGGGAGACTTCCTTACATCTGTCTGCAGGGAGGAGCTAACTAACTCAGTAGGTGTGTTAGTTTGAGAGTAGATAGTTAGCTCCTCCCTGCAGACAGATATAAGGCAGTGTCCAACAGCGTCTGACCAGAACTGAAGAAGCAGCTTGGATGAGTTGCGAAACATCTTCAACAAAACTAACTTTTGTCCATTCGACAAACTGAATTTCCTCCTCGCCATAGTTCATTCATAGTTCCAAAAAAATGATCTAGTTCATAGTTCTTTTTTTTTTTTCCAATGCATTGCTGTGAGCTATTATTTTTCAATATCATTGCCAAAGCCCATATAGAACCACAGACAGCAATTATTTATCACTTATCACTGTCGGACACTCACAATGAAACTATGTTAGATTAGATTTCATCTTCATATCAAATTTGCGGCTGAGATGACAGCGGAGCCGCTACTGTACACAGTCAATTGGCTTTAGATAGAGGATCTGTCTTGACTGTCTTTTGATTTGGTGCGTACTTTCATACACCTTGAAAGGCTCACCGGGTGCTTCAGTTCAATGTGTCAGTTTAAGTTTGCTCTTGATGTGACTGAAGTGCGCATTTCCTTTTGGAAAGCCGGCAAGCAAAGTTTGCACATAAATGTAAGGTTATTCCCTTCCTCAGCGACCTTGTCAAAGAAGCTCTTTTAAAAGTTCATATGAGAAATCCTTGTTGCTCTTGCCTGCTCCATGCTGCTTTTTTGTTTTGTTTTGTTTCGATGAGGCATGCAGCAATGGGACGCTGGTGGCTAGTGTTGTTGCCAGATTGAATGTTTTTCCGTTAAATAGGGTATCCCAGGGTTTGACTATCCCAAATTTAAGACTTTTTAAGACCTTTTTAAGACCACTTAAATTTAAAATCGCACCCATTATGCGGGCGAAAAACACCAGGTCTAATTCTAATAATGACCAACCAACTACCGGCACAATATCTGGAATCTAAGGCTACGTTTCAGAAGACACAAAAGTGGCGTAGCGTCTTCACTTTTTATTCCATTTAGACAAGCGTTTTCGGGAGGAAATCTGCGTGCATACGGTGACGCAAAAGTGTGTGGAATTGGATTGGGTATGCATGCCAGGCGCCTCGGTGATGACGCCAGATGATGATGTATGTGACGTAAACAGATACGTGACGTGAGCAGATCTGACCAGAGTTTTGCATCTTGGCCAGTGTAGATGAAAATAATTGTTTACTCATTGCCGCTGACGCCAAAAACCAAAGTATTGTTTGTGCATACTCCAAATTAGACGTTCATTCATGTTACGTTATTTTACGTTGTTGTTGTTTTTACCCTCCCTCCATTTAACTTTGCTCTGTAGGCCGGTTGAGTAAACAAAAAAATAAGCTAATGAAATTTAAGACCTTTGTGAAAAAAATAAGACTTGGACAACATGATTTAAGACTTTTTAAGGCCTTCATTTAGGAACATGATATTTAAGACCTTTTTTAAGGCTTTTAAGACCTCGCGGCTACCCTGTTAGGGCTCTTTACGGTGTGTTTGGCCGGGGTTTCGCCAACACTGGTGATGACGTTTAAGGCAACATCAGCTGTCTTTAAAATATATACATCCAACTATTGTGACCTTAATAATCCCAGTTATCGCTAAACCAAAATATTCTTGTCATCATTTGACAGTTAAACCAAAGATGTTCATTTTGTCTTCTTATCTACTTCTTTTTAAAGACAATGCAGTAAAGTGTGTTTATCTTGTTGACATGTTTCGGCTGCTGCTGCTGCATCTTCAGAACTGTCACCGGTGTTGGTGGTGACGTGTCGTATATCAGATGTTGTTACTTCCTGTAGGCGTGGTCAGACCTGATGGACCTGGCAGGTCGCTCAGACTGACCACGCCTCCCGTCGCCCGATGTTCTCTGGAGGAGGGTGTCCCAGGTGTGAGTCATTGGATTGGAAAACAACAAGTTCAAACGCTGGATCAGGGAGGCCATAGAAATCAGGAAACGAGGCACAGACAGCATTAACCGTGATGACGGCGCGTTCCTCCTTTCACACACCTGGGACACCCTCCTCCAGAGAACACGACGGGAGGCGTGGTCAGTCTGAGCGACCTGCCAGGTCCATCAGGTTGACCACACTTACAAGAAGTAACAACAGCTGATATACGACACGTCAACACCAACACCGGTGACAGTTCTGAAGATGCAGCAGCAGCAGCCGAAACATGTCAACAAGGTAAATATACTTTACTGCATTGTCTTTAAAAAGAACCCAAGAAGTTAAATCATTTGACAGTATCTATAGTTTTCATAATAACACTACTAATGGTACGCCAACTCCTGGATCCAAAGTATTTCAAAGTACTAGTATCATATACTAATGCATTAGATCCAGGCGTTTCTCCTCCTTTTTTCTAGATGCTCAAAGCTGCTTAACAATTTCATGCATTTAATCAACATCCGTCTACTTAGTCTGTTAGAAGTTTTGTAGCTCCAGCTGCTTTGGGGATCTGCAAACAGAAGCATGGCTCCCATCCTGCACCATCAGCCCCTCCAACCACCATTACTCACTCACACACCACATTTCAATGTACTTAATAAAGATGAAGCGCCTTGCCCAAGGACTGAACTACTGTATTCCCCAGTCAGAGCTGGAATCGAACCCTTGCGGAGTATGGAAAATGTGCTGTACCATTAACAGACAGTTTATATAATCAAAGTGAAAGCGTTACACAACTGTCTGCTGTGTTAATTGCTAATACATCTGAGTTATGACGATCTAGCTCTTGACTAATTATTTTTTTTATTTTTTATTTTTTCACCAGCCCTGACAAGAACACCCTTCAGACTGCTTTATAACTGCCTCCATCTGTTCAGGTGAGGCCAGGACCAAGGCAAAAATAATCCAAAATGTCTGCCAAGTCACAAAACAAACTGATCATTTATGTATAGAGTTTGTCAGCAGGATTTCTGAGCCAGGAGCAAGACACTCGCCGGGAGGTGGGATCTAATATTACCTGAATATAATTAACAGGCAAAATGAGCTTTCCCTAGGTCACCTTGAATTTCAATATAAAAATGTACTGAATGTAGTAGACTGAAGAATTTACACTATCATGATTTTAATAACTACCACAAGAAATGTTTGAATGTGCACTGCGTAACATTTCTAGTTGAGGGCCCATCACCTTAGTCTGATTCATCAGCCCGTTTCACTTCGTGGAAACCGTCTGACCTCGCAGCATTGGGATTCATTTGCTTGACGGTAGGTTGGTACTTTTTTTATTTAACCAATCGCTGCTATTTAGTCGTGACATATGTAATGCGCCAAATCCCGTAGGAAGAAGGGCAATAATGTCTTTCCCCTTGATAAAATTCACCAAACATTCTCTTTGTTCAGGTTTTCTGGGGAATTGTTGCCAACACAGAATGTCTGTCTTCGTCTACATCCATCTCGACCACTTTGTTTACTGTTGTGCTGCACCACAAATGAGACACAGACAGGTGCTTGAGTTTGACGTCATGGCTTCACAGCTCTTCGCTGGTTGTCCAGTGCGCGGTCTACAACTTCCGGGCTTTTTGCAAACCGTCAAGTGTATTCTGATTCCTGACCTAGTCGCTGGAGAGAAATGAAATTGAGCGGAGACACTAAGTGGCACCAGCCTGAAACCGTCACCTGCTTGTCTCCATGGAAATGTTATTGCTTTGTCTAGAATGTTCCACAGTATACATTAAACCTATCTATCACTAGGGAGACAAGCAGGTAACAGCCCTATGCTACATTACAGTTCAGTTCTGTGGAGAGTCGCCCCTCTTCATAGAAGGAATTCATTTTTGGGGGGGAAATATAAACACCTGGGATAAATAAAAGCTAGATAAATGGGTTTAATGTCGTACCATGGAACATCCCAGGCAAAGCAATAACATTTCCATGGAGACAAGCAGGTAGCAGACCTTTCACCAGAAATTGTGTCTTTAATTGTGAATTTTCTGACAAGCACTGAGAATAAAACACAATATTTTATTAGATTTTTTTGCCCTGCCGACGACTACCTCGCTGGTCAAAACGCGTTGGCGTCCCTTCATGCAATAAAGTACTGCTATTTTTTAACTCTTTTATGACCCAGTGAAGCGCTCTACCTCTTTTCTTCATCTGAGGATATTTTGTTGTTTGGGAAGGAAATATATTTTTTTGTTTTAAATCTGGTTGGCTAAATGGATTTTCGATTTCTTTTAAACGCTCTTCTGGGGACTGGTGTTATCCGGATTTATTGTTGTTGTATCTCTTCCAATTCAAATAAACAAAAGACTAAAGAGACTAAAACAAAAAAGATTATTTGTTAAAAGACGACAGAAATTGGTCATTAAAATTCCTACTTTCAGCTA